TTTGTCTGTATCTGCTTAAGATTTGTGTTGTAAATGCAGGGTTAAACTTTACTTAACTAATTTTGGTTTAGTACTTGCTGTCAGCACGGCCAGACCAATGATGAACAATAACAGCGTCCAGTTAAAAGGGTAGGCTAAAAGTGGGCTATGGTTTTGACTTTGATCATAGGTTTCTAATCATCCTTTTATGCAATCACTTTAATGCAAGGTGATTTACACGTTTCACCGTTCAGTTGTGCAATAAATATACTCCTGATCGATGTCTTACCGAGAGCATGCACCTACTCAAAACGATCCAGATTTTTCTTATTGCAATTTTAACGTAAAGTTTTTACACAGAATCCGGCTCGTCGTTTTCTGTGCATTCGTGTTTCATCTTCTGAAACTATACTGCTCCATTAATTACAAAGCCTAAAGCCTATAAACTTGGCGTAGGTATCTCACACGGAACGGTGGAGGTGCCGAAGGCCTTACTCCAGCAATGCCATCATAAAAAACTAATATACGGGCACGAATATAACGCCTGTCGGAACCTTGATTTCTTTGGGTCGATGCAGCTCTTCCACACCAACGTATGTTCTGCACATATTTCCAAACGTGTTCATAGGTCCTACATATAATGGCTGGATTGCATTCAAGTGCTCCATGCTGGCGTCCCTCGTCTGGACCGCACACTTCACCTGAGATGCGGGGACACGGAGAGGGAAAGAAGGAGGGAGAATACACATCCATGGAAGCTGGCCGGTCCGCAGGTCCGGTGTAGACGATAGGGCCATGTAAGAACATTGAAATGAAGCAGTGCTGCTGAATATTTTAAATAATTCTCCTTTAATTAATTTAACATAACCAAGCCTACTTGCTTCAAACACGCCGGCCTCCCGTTTAGGTTTTCCGAAGACCAAAATGGATGCCGTTTCAACCTGGGTTTTAATATATTGGGGGATAAAAATTTTAAAGCAAAATATCCCTAATAAAACAAATGTAACTTGGTGATGTTAACGAGTCGAATCGATCCCCGTCTACCGGACATCCCGCTAATTACGGCAGTGGGATAATTAGTTGATGGGCATCGGTTTTCCTCTGATGTTTCACCTGCTCCAGTCACAGTGAAACTTTAGACAGCGGCTTATCCTGGAAGCCCCCCCCCCTTCTCTAATCACGAGGGATAGGTATGTGTGCCATGCAAAAGATTAGATCCCATGTGCTTTATGTACTTTTTAACGTGTTAAATAATGTGAAAATCGACGTTATGAATGGCGTTGCGTGCGTACAATGCAAGTCTCGAATGGTTCAGGAAATAGTATTTTTTTTAACATCAGTAGCAACGTCCCTTATTGCTATAACTTTTGAACTTCGTACACTGACTTTCTTATGCTTTAATAAATAAATAAATAAATCGTTTTATTTCTAGTTTACTTCATTCCAGTGACGTGCAAAGCGTTAATTTACATGCAATTCAGTGAAAGTGAATACACAGAGTATACGACAATAATTGTGAATACGTTTTAAATGCTGCATATCTTGCGATAACGTCCGCTGGTGTTGTGGGTTTAGGAGGGGGTGCTGTTTTGTGTGTATGGTCTGCTGTTCCTAGCTAGTTGTGGGGGGGCTCCAAGAGACTTGTTAATTTTCGTCAGTCAGCTACAATTTGTGCGGCTGTCGGGACGGGGCCGCGGCGAAGAGGAGCAAATTGCACAGGCTCGCAAACAAAGCGCTGAACTGGGGGATTAAAGCCAGACTTTAATGAGAGGTGGGGGGGGGGCGCTACGGGAACATAAACAGGCAGAGGAGAGGGAGGGAGGCAGGGGATGAAAGAGAGGAGAGTCGGGATAAATGGGAACGGGGGTGGGCCGATGAGAGGCCCAGAGTGTACATCTGAGGAGGAAATATGAAGGCTTGTGACGGGTCCTAAACGGTCTGGCGCCAAGGCCTCGGACTTTAGAGTAAATATGGCTGGAGAAATGATGCAATGAGCCGGATGACGAAAGCGTGCAGGGGGCAATGAAAAAGAAAGCATGACAATTCAGGAATACAGTCCACGGCTGCGTTTTACCTTAAAATATTTATGATTTTGTCTATTAGATGTTTTTCGCCATTTCAGCAGCACATCTGGGGGCATTGGGGTAACAATGATCATTTTCATTGTCCTCTTAGAGAATACACGGAGCCGTGGGCCTACATCTAATAAGATCCGACAAACGAAAAGCCACAAGTGCCATATTGAAGTAACTGGTGTGTCTGCAGTACAGCGCATATAATTCCATACGGTTCACTATTATCGCTGTAGCCTATATCGTCAGAAACAGCGTAAGTCCCAAATTAATACTCGTTATTTTCGGATCACGCGTTTTCATGTTACCCAAAAGTGAAACATATCGTTGATCAGTACCTTGTTTCCATGTCTATTTACGTTATAAGTGTAACCAGGCCCCAGCACAAATAAATCAAAAACCATTTAGGTCTTTGTTTATGTAATTAGTTCCCTAAATATATAAAGAAAAAAAAATCATTAACGATGTCAGTGTGTCGGTAATCTCTTTTTTCTTCAACCATTAATTTTCCAAAACACCAAACAAACACATCATTGTGCCAGATCAATCAGAAGCGCATTTCAAAGCAGTTCATATTACAAAAAAAAAAAAACACAAATTGGGTAAAATTTAAACAATTAAATGCACAATTTTATTTTCAGAGGTTTCGGTGGTTAATAGAAATACAATATTAAAATGATTATAACTATTATTATTGTTGTTGTTATTTCTGATTCTGGATTAAATGTATTAATTAATCCACATAATAATACGCAACTAAAATAGCCTTTAAAACGAGCGCCCTTGTAAAGGCCAGCGGACTTGTGGTTAGGGGTTAGCGCAAGGTCACTTAAGATAAGTGCTGTATCAGTATTTTATCGACAGAATTTGATGCGTACGTTTCTGCATGTTACAGCAAGATTTACAGGTACATATATTCGGCGGTACATCAAATAATATACTGTAAAAATTTAACGCAGTCATTTGCCTCATACCTTTTCATTACATCTTATCCAAACCAGCCTGCTTGTATTTGCAAAACAAGATCTATGTAAAAACTATATTAATAAAACATTTCCGTTAAATTGATCTAAATTCTTTTCTTGTATTATATACCACGGGCTATTTTTTACATTGAAATTGATAATAATTTAACATACACTACGTTTTATTGATATACATATCTATACCAATACATGTCATGCATGATATTTTACAGTATATTAGTTATTCGACAGAGTCAAAGACAGATTAATAATAATAATAATAATAATAATAATAATAATAACGACAATAATAATAACAAATATAATAATAACAAAAATATTTAAATTCGATTATTGGCGAGTAAAAATATTTTAACAAATGTGTAGCCTACTTTTTTAGACGGAAAGCAACTGTGAAGATCATATCTACAGAAAATCAATGTAAAAATCCTTGTTTTGACACTGTTCATATATACAGCAGCTTCACTTAAAATTATGGCGATGATGCACAACCTGCAAGAATGTCATGTTGAAATAAACGCGCACACTACTTGGCTCAAAACCGCAATTTGAAGTTAGCATATATAGAGCACAACGATGTAATCTCAAGTAGACCGAAAATAAACTAACTTAATAGACAGCGCATCCTGTATGGAAGGTCACGGGCTGCCAAGACGCTGGAGACGGCGGTGCCGCTGCTCAGAAGATTAAATTCTCATTTTTAAGATTTAGAAACATACCTCCAGCTAGGTTTTCCTATACGGGTTTTGCTCTGTCACGGAGAAAGAAAAAAACGTTTATTTTACCTTTTTTTATTTAAAAGTCGTGCTGTGGCTCAGCAGGACGCGAACCGAGTGTTTTTGAGATGTCCTGTCTCGCTATGTAGGTTACATACACACGTCAGCTGGAACGCCGTGTGTTTCGTACTCATTAAAAACCATCGTTTTTCATTGAAAACGCGCTAGGAGCCGAAAACAAAAATGTCAATGTGAGTCTTGGCGCTGTTTTAATGGCATGGGGGTGATGCACGCTGTTTGAGCGTTTGGGGCTAAATGCGAAGTGACAGCAGACGGTCCTTATTGTGGGCGGCCAGCAGACTGGCGCCGGACGGCCCTCTAACGAACTGAGTGCCAGTTAATCAGGACTCCTGCGATGGCTTTCCTAAAGGTCCACAGCGGTACTGGGTCATCCGCAGGTTCGCATAACACAGTGTTCAACACATATTTGCGATGCAGGTTGGGTGCTTTTAAAGAATATGAAAAAAATCACTGGCAAACTTCATGGTACCGAGCAAAGTCGGCCCTGTAAACAGGTTTCTCTGATTCAGTCACTTAAAACGCCTAAACAACATTTCGTTTGGGAAAGTCTTTCTTCATTAAGTGAAAGTTACAAATGAGCGTAAAATTATGCCTAAATCAAAACAAAAATCAATAAGCAAAGTAAATATTAGTACACTTTAAATGTACACTAAAAATACCTTCCTTAAAGATTTATGTTTAACCAAAGTATAGTCTATCCACATGTTTTAAAATAAATAGGCCTATTCTAACAGAAAGTGACCCAAAGCGGAAAGAGTTGATAAGATCGGGTGTCTATTGATATTTTCGAAACAACGTGCCGAACAACTCCGGAAAATAATTTACCACAAGTTGGTAAGGACTCTCTCCGCCGGCTGAGGACAGAGCTCTAAGCCGCTGTTTAGCTTTTTGCTGGGTGGGATCTTCCCATCTCGTCTCTGTCATTGGTTAATATTTTATTCTGTTGACATGTTTTTGTCACTAATGCTTCTGACACCTCGTTGCCGCTCCTGCCGCCCCTTCCCTCCCCAATCTTGGCCACCGCTGTCAAAACCACGCCTATTCAGGTCCGCAATTGGTCCGGAAAGCGTAAAATGAGTAATCAAAGGCTCGCTTCATTAGTGCGGGGACCGGGACGCAAGACACAGGTGAGATGCTTTCAGTTCCCCGGGAAGAGGATGAGATCTGAGAGTCTGGGAGCTGTTTGACGACTGCACTTTTATTTTCTGCGAGAGGAAGGAGCGCCGAAAGTGTGTCTTCAGAAAGCAGATAAAGTCGCACAGATTCATTCTGCTGCAGGACTATGTGGAGGGAGTCCATAATGGATGTTTTCTGATTGGACTTTCAAACCAAACGCTGCAGTTTCATTTTCAATTCAACATTTTCTGCTGCTTCTATCAAGTGGATACCTATTCTCGTGTCGAGGGGAGCAACCTTGCAGTCTCTTGTGATTTTATACAGATTTTGGATGCACCGATGAGAGACCCAGTTTTCACGGGGACTGCGATGGCTTATCAACCTTTCCACGCTCATCGACCGGTCGAATTTCCCGTGTCAGCCTTCCTCTCGGCCGCTCAGCCGTCCTTCTTCCCGGCACTGACGCTGCCTCCGGGCTCCCTGGGCAAACCGATAGCGGAACAAGCTTTTGCTGCAGCCGCGGAAGCCGGTCTTAACACGCTGGGTCATCACCAGCAGGCGGCTCATCTGCGCAGCCTAAAAGGCTTCGAGTCGGCGGAGGAGGAAGCCGAGGACGACCCAAAAGTAACTCTAGAGGCTAAGGAGCTTTGGGACCAGTTTCACAAAATAGGGACCGAAATGGTCATTACCAAGTCTGGAAGGTGGGGAGAATAATGGTATTTTTGCGTAATACATTTACGCGTGGGTCTAACAGTATGGTTTTAGAATAGGTTTAGGAAACGTATATGTTCTGATAATTAACATAATGTGGAGTGGGTTGGTCAAACTCGCATTTATCCTCTGGAAAGTTATTTATAACGACCTGGAAAGGTCTTAAAGTCGGTATAGATTTGCCATGATCTGGCATCAGTCTCACAGACGTGGCTGCATTTGATTCTGACCTTTTATCGTCTATAGGTTTACTGCACAAAAGACAATGTGGCAGGACAGTTGGCATTTAAAACTAAAACATCTTTAGAAGTGTTTTTATACGTTGGCCTTTTATATCGTACACTAAAGTAGAAATGATCTTTGCGTTAAGGGCCGAAGGGGCGTTAGTACGAATACTTAATATAAATACGGCCGTCTTTTAAAAGCCTCTCTGCGGGGATGTGCCGCATTTCTCACCGTGTTTAGCGACGGACCTCCTGACCGCCTTTGCTCTCCGTTTCAGGAGGATGTTCCCGCCCTTTAAAGTCCGCATTAATGGTCTCGACAAAAAAGCCAAGTACATCTTACTGATGGATATAATGGCTGCGGACGACTGTCGCTACAAGTTCCACAATTCCCGCTGGATGGTAGCCGGGAAGGCCGACCCGGAGATGCCCAAGCGGATGTACATCCACCCGGACAGCCCGGCCTCCGGCGAGCAGTGGATGGCCAAGCCCGTCACCTTCCATAAGCTCAAGCTCACCAATAATATGTCTGACAAACATGGGTTTGTAAGTAGTCCATTAAATAGCTATCATACGGGGCCACTGCGTTTTGTTGATCAGTTTTATTTATTATTTTTGGTAATAGCTATATATAGCTTCCATATCAGCTATCAAACCACTTTTATAATGTTTCTGAGAGCTGATGCATTCATCAGGCAATTCGAATCAGCCATTAGTGTGTCTGTGTTACAGTTAAAAGGAACCAAGGAGGTACTTCAGGAATTAGTACCTCTGGCCACTGCATAAGTCTCCAGTGCATTTATAGGGTGGGCGCCTGGATATTTTATTTAGGCCTGTTTAGTTTTGGTAGATATAGTAACTTACAAGCAGCCAGGGGAGCCGTATGAACTGACCGTGGGCCTATAATATAAAATATGGGTTCGGTCATATAAAATGTCCTTCAATGCCTGCCCTTCGCGTGATCGCGGTGCCGGTGGCCCTATTCATTGATAATTCGGAAGAAAATTTAATTAATTGCTGACAGGCGAATGTCTCAGCTGTTGGGTTTCTAAATAATAATTCTACTTTTTTACTAGATGTCGCGTATGGGGAATGTCCCATAAGTGCATTATTAGAGCTGGCTGCAATGATACTGTTATTCGTCTTTTATGTAAAGCGGATAGGCTGTAAGCTAACATCAATTCAGCAGGCCTGCTGCAGTGCACTTGCACTGTATCAGGCGCCCAGACGTGTTCACTGTGCTAGGCAATATCGAAGTAATGTGACCATATACACAGCAAAGTCCACGATATGCATACAAAGCTTGACAGCTTATTACTCATAATAACTATGAAATTAAACTGTACCGCAAAGAACAAAAGAGAATTCCTGAAAGTGTGAGATTATAACAACATGGCGTTTTCAGATACAGCCCTAAGAATGATTTGCCGTACGTGCTGCCATTGACAGAGATGCTTGGTGCGTTTTGCAGACCATCCTGAACTCCATGCATAAATACCAGCCGCGCTTCCACATAGTGAGAGCCAACGACATCCTGAAGCTTCCCTACTGCACCTTCCGGACCTACGTTTTCCCGGAGACGGAGTTCATCGCCGTCACCGCCTACCAGAACGACAAGGTACCTGCCATCTCAGCTATGCCTGTCCCTTTAACATCCCTCTGGTCTGGTGCAAGAGTCTCCCTGTTTAGCTAAATAATTTCCTTCCGTCAGTGGACTACATTGGCTCACCAATGTGCAAATATTTGTATAATACAACCGAGGTTTGAATAATGAATGTACTAGTGTTATTTTGCAAGAAATATGACTATATAGGCCGATAATAATAATAATAATAATCATAATCGTTATAATAACATTTATTATTTTATTAGAGATGCGTCTCCTCACATCTCTAATAAACATGACATGCGAGTTCGTGTCGGGGTTCGATGCCGTATCAAGCCGCGTCTCTGATCTGCGCTTATACTAGCGTGGATATAATTTTTTTGTAGGATTACTACCGACAGTATACTTTAATGTAATAAATGAAGTTGTCGGAAATTACTGAATGTGTAGGGAGATTACTATCCCTCTTTACGCCCTTCTCTTTACGCCCGCTTTACTCTGTCCGTGCTCTCTACTTGGTGTGATACAGTTTATGGACCGTCGGCCTTTTTGAGAGTAGCTTGTATTAGTTTGTGAACCTAACGTTTCGTTGTGTATATCCGTATGATTATACCGTACATTATACAGTCTCTATTTTAACGTGACCATTCGACGGTAGACTAAAACATTTAATTCATTTGAGCATTTAATTTTAACAGTTAGGCTATTCATATTTCCATTTGGGATATTTGACGGATAGGTCTAGGCTAATTAAGTTGTAAATGTTAAAAATCAAAATGTTCAATAGAATAACCCATGGCATGCGGTGTATTGGTTATTTTCCGCACCATCTTAAAATAAATTCTAATTAGAAATTGCTATTGCGAGGCCTCACCGTTACATCCGTTTTAATACATAATGCGGCTTATTAAACACAGGCCTATCATCCGAAAACCAAGCAGTTGCGAGATTTCAAAGTCATCTTAGTTCAAAGTCATCTTAGTAATTTATTATCAAGCCTACGATACGATAGGCCCATATTGGTGAAATCGCCGAAATCACGTCCGTGTAAAGTGTTTGAAACCGTGCGTGTAATTATTTTCAAGTTCCTATTAATATATGTAAATGTTGATTGTGCTGGTTTGTGCAAGTTATTTCTCAGCAATCAGATAATAAACCTCGATGTACACAGTAATAACTTGATAGACGATTTCTAGCCGTGACATGACCCCTACTTTCCGCTCTTTACAGATAACTCAGTTGAAAATTGATAACAACCCCTTCGCTAAAGGTTTCAGAGACACGGGGAACGGGAGGAGAGAAAAGAGGTACAGTGATCGCTGTCATGCTGCTATAGCCTAATAAACTGCTATTGTTGTTCTGTTGCGCGTTTTCCATTAACGCCGGTATATTGTTATTTTTACGGGACGAAATGTAATAAATATTTTTGTGAACATGGGCTTTAATTAATTCCCGTGTCCTTCTGTAACGTGTGATTCATTTGCACTGCCCCTAGAAAGCAGTTGACTCTGGCGCCACTGCGAGCATTTGCGGATCCGGACGGCGGGGAGTCGGACGCTTCCTCTTGCGACCCAGGGGCCGCTGGGGACTCGCCGGCCGGGTCCGGGACGACTCGCTCTCAGAGAGGTACAGTATTGGCTTGACAAGAGAGGCGCTATAATGAGTCCTAAACCGCGGTAACTGGCGCGTGTTTATCCATCTGCTCTGCTTTGGCGGTGTATTAAAGCTATACATATATATATATATATATATATATATATATATATATATATATATATATATATAGTAGGCTATGTTGAAGGCACAATGGATAGTACCTACTGATTTTGTAACCGGTTCCAGCAGAATTTCCGTTTGATTATTTATACTACTTTTATCCTACCTCGCTACCTTTCCTCCACCCAAAACAGAAACAAATAAAAAGTGTTTCTGTCAGGGGGCGATTGGCGCACAGGTCCGTAAGTAACATTTTAATTGTGGGTCAGAACGTAACCCGGTGCTCTGCGCCCCCTAGCGGCCATCGGGCTCACGGCGCTTTCGCTACTGGCGGTGGACTTGGTTACTTATAATGGAGAAACTCATTAAAATCTGCATAGTGCGCTTCTGTTAAATATTTTGCCCGTACCTGGCTAAAGGGGTTAACGTGGAGTTTTGCCGATTCTCGGTGGGTTTTGACGGAGAGTAAAGTGGAGGATATTTTACACTGTACTGTTTGTGCCTTGTAATAATTACCCTGGGTCAGAAACAGCGACCAGAGGCCTGTGTGGATGTTTCTTTCATGTCTGTAAATCTGCTTATTGGCCTTGTGACAGATGCGAGGACCCACACAGACAGTGACCAGGAACCAGACCACCTGGAGAATCCCTCTGTCAGACCAAGCAGCCCCGGGCCCCGGAGCCCACCCTCTGGGCCGCGGTCAGTAGGTGGGGCTAATCCCAGTAAGAAGGGAGACCCAGGAAACCCCAGCGATCTCACGCAGCAGAAAGACCAGTCGGATAGCAGGTGCAGGAACAGGGTGGACCACAGGACCCTGGGGAGTACCGAGGGCGGCTCCTACCCAGTGCTGCTTCAGATGGACAGCCCCTCCCACCTGAGCACCGCCCACCTGCAGGCCCTGGCCCTCTCCAGCCTGCCTGGCCAGTCATTGTACGGCCCCCAGCCCCTGTTCCTGCCCCCAGGGCAGCTGGCCGTGACGCCCGGGGGCTTGTCCGCTATGGGCATGGGGCAGCTGCTGGCATCCGTCTCTGGCGTGACAGGCCTGGGGGGCAGCGCACTCTCAGGGGGGCCCTGTGGATTCCCGTGGCAGCTCTCACAGGTAATGCATCCCATTCCCGCAGTCATATAGTGCAGTGTGTCCATCAGTATCCATCAGACTTTGCCCTGGTTGCTCAAGCCCCCATCTCGGCCTTCCAGGCGTTCATCACAAGCCCCTCCTACCTGTAATAATAGGTGGACCCTGCTGACTATGTGGGCGTGGCTTAACCACACACATGTCCAGTAGGTGTGGCCTGCAGTAGGGATTAAATGCAGCTGTGTTGCATCGAGCCACGGGGAGGTGCAGGGGAGCTGAGCTGCAAGACGGTGGCTCCCTGTCGCTCCATAACTCGCGCGTACAGAGACAGGGTGTAGGTCAGGGGTGGCCAGCCTTATCCGCAAAGGGCAAGTGTGTATAAAAGCCTATAGGTCAGCTGTTCAAACCCAGGTGTGAGAACTCTTCAGCTAATCAGTTCTCTAATTAGGGAGCTCCAGCAAAAACCTGCACACACAGTGGCCCTTTCTGGGTACGATTGGCCACCCCTGGCATAGGTGGATGTCCACTGCGGGAGAGCTGGGTTTGAGTGTCGTTACTGATGTCACTGGAGGATGCCAGTGTGACGAGTGGTGCTGTTTCTCCTTCGCAGGGCATCCCTCTGCCCGCCTTGGGAGCGCTGTTCTCCCACCCCTACGCCTACATGGCAGCCCCCCTCTCACGCAGCCCGCTGTTGGGTGCTGCCCGGTCCTGCCTGCACTACAGCCCCTACCCGGTTCCCGGTGCCCTGTGCCAGGGCGCTGGCACCCTCGCTCGGACTGTGCCAGCCAGCCGGGATACGAGTCCTGTGGCCCCGCCCACTCCGGAGCGCCATACGGTGACCTACAGGGGCAAAGCCTTACCAAAGGACCCCATTAATGAGCTGCAGAGCATCCAGAAGCTGGTCAGCGGCCTGGAGGGGCAGAGGAGCGCCTCCCCGAAGTGACACGTGCGCCTCCCGCAGGCCAGGTCCAGAACATCCAGCTCACTGCGATGCAGCTCGGCACAGGATTGGACGTCCACACCTCACTGGGCTGAACAGCAGGCAGGAACTCCCTAAACCACGTCCTGAAGAGGTGGACGCCTGACTGACAGAAGCCCCACGGGCTATTTTCTGCGTGCGCGTCTCACTGAGGCTTATAGGAGATCCGAGGTGGGCGACTTTCTGCCGAGAAGTGGAGCGTGACGGCAGAATGAAACGGCTACCTGTCACCGCCTTCAGAGACAGGCGTTAACCGTACAGAAGAGCACCGAGGGCATCGGGAAATACGGATCGGGAAGGTGCTTAGGCTGAGGAACCACCAGCCGGCTTCATGGATGCCTGAATTTGACTTATTTATGTGATTAAATAGAATCAATTATGTAAATAAGCAGCATGCAGACTGGTATTAATTTATTTAATGGTGTACATTGGTTTGTACATAATGTTTTTGATCTGATCTGACCTCACACTGCAACGACGGGGTGAGTTCAGGTATTTCACTGTCATCCCGTTGCTGAAGAAAAAAAAATGTTTCTAATCGGCCGTCTTCATGCTGGTTACTGAAACACTACTTTGCTCTCACGTTTTCGGACACTCAATAAAAAACAAATTGTTAATTGTTAGTTACACATTTTATATATTTCACTTCTTTTATCATTTCATTAGGATTTGTTTGCATCGAGGTTTTTACTTTTGCTTTTCTACTTTTTATATTATTATATAATGGTATTGACAGTACAGGCCGGTACTGAACCATTTATTTTGTTAAAGATGCACGGAATTGTATTGTACAGTTATTATGATTTTAATCGCCCTCATTTGATGTTTATTTTTATATACATTATCTGCAATATAAAATATTGAGGAAGATTTTAAATCCGTCCGATATGTGTATCCTAGGACATAATCAGACACTCATGCTGTATTGTTATAGTTTGTTGTCCTCGGCTTCCTGTGATGCGCTCCAGGTTCTCGAGACGCTGTACGAAATAATGAGCAGTTGGGACATGGATGGATGGATATTTTGGGCGATAAAAAAATATAGGGTTAACGTTGTATTTTGAGTTACAGCGCCCCCTGCCGAAAGTAAATGTGTGTATTAGGAGCTCCGGGCTACGCGGCTGCGTGTGTACTGGGACAAGTGTTAAATTATACAGTATTTATATCATTTATCGGTTTTTAAAGACAGAGGCGTTTTCAACTGAATAAACACGGGAAGGGGTCGTTTTGAATGTAAATATCATGGGATTGACTTGCTCGTCTACATGCAGACATGCATAGACGCGTCTTCCGAAGGTTTAGTTAGCTGAAAAAGCTAGTTTGCGGTGTAGTATCAACTCAGGTTACAAGTGTTAATTACTTCGAATGACCGCGGCTCTTTCGCCCGTCCCGAGAGGGAGGGAAATATGCTGATTATGAAGAGAGTTCCGAAGGGCGGCGTTCGGGCGTCCAGCCGCCCAGACAGCGCCTTGTCCGCCAAACGTCGCCTGTCGCCTGCCTGCAGACCGGTTCACAAAGACCGAGGCAGACAACGGCAGCAGTGGTTTCCAATTAGCGGGCGCTACAGTCGGTTTTCCTATAGCTGATCACTGAAACACTCTCTATTGTTCCACCCTGTTGTACCCAATTAACGAAGCGAGCTGCTGGATATTGAAAATGAACGTCGGGCCCGATTATCCTTCAGCTTTGACAAGAAGCAGCCTCTGCTCTCACGTGATTACAGGATGGACACTTTGCTTAACCCACCAAACAACTGCGTTCACTTGAATACTTTTTGGTGGGTAAAGAAGAATTTAAAAGTTATTTACTTGGAATATATTTGGTGTCTGGTTTGTTAAACCATAAAAGAGGGATGAATCAGAATACAAGACAAAGCAACGTAAAGAATGTGGATTAAATGATGAAATCAAGCACGAACACTGTTTTCTGACTTAAATTAAATTTCATCCACCCATTTATCTTCGAACTACTCATTATGGTAAAGAGTCGGTATTACTCATAGTATTTTTCCTCATAAAACATAAAAACGCACACCAAATTTTAGGCAAACCGGATATATTTATCCGAATAGAACAAGAGATAGCCCCCTTTTGACCGAGCCCGGCCCCAGTTAGTAGGCTATGTCCGGTGCCTGAGCAGCCTGTTTGACCAGGGACTGCATAGTGATACTGGTAAAGAGAGAATTTCATACTGTTGAGAATGAGGTGAGACACCAATAAGAAGATGCGTCCGTTTCCTGCGTTTACAAGAAGTGAAATAGTTTTTAAATTAATTCCTCTTTCAGACAGGCGCATCGTTATCGTTCGTTCATTTCAGTGCTGTGGTAGGAAAGCAAGTTTTGATTATGAAATTTTCCTGATTACACCATCCATCCATCCATTTTCTGTACCCGCGTGATATATATATATTCAGGGTCGGGGGGTCCGGAGCCTAACCTAATGATATACGGGCACAAATTACTTAAGTATAAAACGAAGAATAAATAAAATAATTTATTGTTAATTTAGTCATTTTCCTACATAGAAGCGTTATAACAGTGCTATTATTATTATATTGAACGCCAGGGGTCGCACTAACTCCATTAATTGTACAAACTCTGTGATTGTTACCGCTTTATTGAATGGATGCATAAAAAGTCTGTACAACGCCCTCATAACAAACACACCAGCATTCAGATTTCACTGAGAAACACGGATATTTGCGTCAATGCCGGTTCTGTATTATTTAGGCCCCAGTACTGAACTTCTCAGCGCGAAACTGAATTTTTCTTCCTTCTGGTTGTTTCGTTTATATTCCATGGAATTTTTGGATGACTTAACTACTTAAGCCTCGCGTTGGACGGATGAATGTTTTGCAACGAAAACTGCTTGCGATCACCAGAACTGCTTAAACCCTGTGCAATCACCGCATTAGTCAGCAATTAAGTTTGAACACCGTCATGTTTCGTAGAAACGCCGTTCAACGGGTATATAGCGCTTTTCCGTGACGAAGTGCAATTGTATGTTTAATTGAAGCATTGCAGTCAAACGAATTCGAATTCAATCAAATGAAAAAAATATTATATAGAGCAACCCTTTACAGCGTTACAGGATCAACAGAATTACCGGACTATTAACTGCCATTTCCCTTAGATATTAAAATCGTAGTTTAAGTTGGTAACTTAAAAGTCCAGATTTTGAATAATATTTTTTTCAGGATTAGCTAATCAAGTGATTTATGACTAACTATCAATTAAGCTGTAAATTTGATATGTACGTCACTGCGATTAAAATTCTTCACCACGCCCTTGTTTAATTTCAGTAATTAACCTTTGCTGGTATAATCGATCGTTACATCTGCCAGGTGAGTTCAGGCGCCGTCATACATCACAAGCGCATGTCTATGCCTGAGTTTCCCTTTACAGCGCTCACGGTCTCGTGTGATAGAAACGTATTACACAAACACTACCAAATAATCATCATAATTTATAATTGTTTATTAGTAACGGGCGTCTGCACTACGCACATGATGTCTATAACCAACTAATCATGGAGATCTTTACTAGGATTTAAAATGAGAAATGTTTGCATTGACAGATAACAGCTTATTGTTATTTTTGCTTGATTGATTTATAAGTCCAGTGATGCTTTCCATTTTTCATTCCGCGCTGATGAAGGTGCATATCAATGAAGGCCTATTTAACACCTCTGTCATATTTGAGCGCCTAAAAAGAGAGACATACTTAACGAAACCCATTTAATTCGTTGAGAAGAAGAAGTAAAACAGCACACTAAAACAAAACAAGGTGTGAGCCGTGATTAGCTCGGTGTGACTAGCCCGCTGTGAGCCCCAACCAGCCGCGGATCACCACGACCTACACGGTATCGGCGGTACGGGGGCGCGGGATGAAGCGGCCTCAGCGGCGGTACAGTCGGCCTGCTCTCAGCCCCGGTTTAAAATACACTCTCATAAAGACCGCAACTTCTGTTATTAAGAGTGTCGATTTTTAACAGTATTATTAGGTTACATTACAGAAATTATTATTATTATAATAATTATTATTATTAGGCCTCTACTACTAATAATAATAATAATAGCCTAATAAAATTCGGATCTGTCTTGCAGTCCTTCCATCAAATAAAATCTAAAGATAATGTAAATCTTATCTTTTCGCAGCTGAATATATGTCGAAAACATCTATGAACACCCACGTAAGCCCTAGGGACAAACTTCCCAACCCATTCGTTCATCGTACATTCATTCAAAATGAAGACTTCAGCTCTTTCGTTTCATATAGACTGCGGATTGCTCAAAAGCGGTGTTACGACCATGGGCGTTTTTTTGTGCGTGTCAGTGTAAGACGGCGATTTCCGTTTATCGCGCCGTAGCGCTGGACATTTTTATATCACATCACATACACGTAACTCAGCTTTAATAACCATGCGATATTTATTTCAAGGAAATAATTTTTCTTTGGTTGTCCAGCCCCTCCTGAAACCTACCTGAACCATCGCATATTGCACGTCATAAAATATACAACTGGCATATATGCAATGAAAGGGCAAAAAATAGCGAATTAAACATATTCATAAAACGAACCACTTTGAGTAATGTTTAGCGGAACGCTTCAGTCGTGGAAAGGCATCCGTCCATTCTGCTGCTAAACAGGGGGCGGCAGTGAGCAGCCCCCGCGCAGAGGCGATTATTGTGATTTTCACACGATAACACCCGCGTCGTACAGCACAGAAATAGACTCATGGGGCTGAATACAGCACCAACGATCCGATACAAGGAGGAGGGAGTGCAGAGTCGGCTTCGTCTCTAGCGTTTTTTTAATATTCCAATATTTTGAGTCTGATAGGAAACGCTACGCGCGTGGAGTTTCCCGTTACGGCAGCTACCCTGAATGCTGTGCGGACCCGCCACTGGTGGGCTAACGGGGACCCCCTTGGAGTGAAGTAACACCGACAAGAAGATAAATAGCTTAATATACGTTAAATGCCTCCTAATTTACCAGCATTGTAACAACCTTCACTGCGTGCCTATTTGGCGTGGGAAAGCAGACTGACGTTTGGACTGAGAATGAAGGAACCCAACATACCTGTTTTATGAGGTAACATTACATTTCAGTTGGATGCCTATACGGTTTCCAAATCCGTGCATGGACCGAGCCGTCGAAGTAATCTACGCGACCTGGATTAAAAACATCCGTTTTTCCGTACTCTAGTGCAGGTTTACAGTCCCTTTGGATTATACCTACTATATTGTTGATCTTAAATGGCATGATATTAAAAATAATCCGTAATATGCGTATCTGCCCAAACTCCATGTGGGTTCATTATGGGGTCGATAGATCACATTGAAAAATAACTAATATATTAGTTTCGTTTTAAATGGACGCATTTTACATTGTATTTCTAACACAGAAACAAATTTAGATTAGGACGTGATACGTGTGTGTTGAAGTAGTATAGGCACAGAATAATCCCCTTCAGAATTTATCAGTCAGGTTTAAATTAAAAGCAGCAGCATGAGTCGAACCACCGGTCTAAGAAAACTTTAATTAATTATTATCAATCACTATTGTTTTATTTTTATTGCCTTCAGTTATTTATAATAATATTGGTGGTTTACTGTGTATTTTTTGCAATTCTGTGTTATTCTTCTGTGTTAAAGTGTTGGGCTAAAAGTTATACAGCAACACTCAGGCCTATGGGCCTAGCAGTAATAAAAATATAACTACACATTAGTTTACATAAATATACTGCTACGTGTTACTTTAATATATATTATAAAGAGAACAAATGAGAAACTACATGTAGTAATGGTAGCCTATCTACCTTTCATTTATAATGTTTGGATATATATAGTGAATATATGAATGACATCGTTTTCTTGGTTTCAGTCAGTAATATGCATGGGCGTTTCTATGCTTATGGTCCATTTTAGCGCTTTATACGCGTGGAGGATGAACAATTACCGATTCTGATGACGAACTCAGTCACCAAGAACGCTCAGGTCGCGGCCGATCCCGACGAGTCAGTTATTTCTTATATGTTCATGGGTAAGACTTGTGCAGGCGTCGATCGAAATAATACTTAACCGATTCCTACATTGTATTAAAATGCATTCACGTACAGTGATGGAGAAATATTCTACAACAGCTTTTTGGGGACAATGATATTTTTATTGGGCGGATAATACTATCATTCTTCAGGACTAACTAGTTTTCATTTTTAAATATTTTTTTGAAATTACTAATGTAATAAAGATCCATATACCAACGACTCCATAAACAAAATGAGTAAAAATTATATAGGAAAAATAAGTGTACAATATATGTATATACATGCAGTATTGTTTAAATAATTATAATAGCTAAATCTCTGTGCTTGTGTAACGTATTGAGATTAACGGCGATCTGATGCTTGCCGGTTCGAATCCCAAAACTGGGGAGTGCTGTCGCTGCTGGGCCTTAACCCCAATTGCTTCAGGACACTGGCTTGACGCTTTTCTCTGATCCTTACTTGTGCCTCGCTTTGGACAAATGTCTGCTATTTAATGCAATGCTCCGAAAATGCAATCTAAATTAAATACATCCGCACAGACATTTTTTCTAAGTATTTCTACAGAATTTTTGCTTGAAATTTTAATCCATACGTGAGTATACCCTTACCTTGAATTAAACAATTACCTGTGTTTTTATTTAGGCCTTGTCTAGGCCTATTCAGGTAGTGAGCCGATGGTGTATTCACGCGGACAAACGGTATTAATATGCCGCACTTCAAAAATTTTGCTAGATTCATGCATTTTCCGAAAGGCGGGCGGTCGCTGAATTTCCGCTGCACTCTCAGAAAAAAGGGATAAAAATTTGTACCTTTGCTTGTCATTGGGGCTGTACCCTTTTATGGTACAAAAATTGAGGAACATCCCAAATGTACTAACAGCATTAACGTACCAACAATGGTACAGAAATGTTCATCGGAGCTTCTGTACTTTGAAAGGTTTAGTTACCTTCAACTAAGGGTACAATTAGCAGACTCTCGAGGGAACAGCCCCAGTGATAAGGTACAAATTTTTACCCTTTTTTCTGACAGTGTACCAACGTACTTGGGACCGAACTAGGAAACCTCCGTACAGTCGATCACGGATAAATCTGCTGAATGTAGTTTCAGAAAGTTTAAAATTGAAAAAAAAAACTTACTTACTTACTTTTAAGATTAAGATTAATTTTATGGATACCAGGGGAAACTCTGGTGCATATTACAGCAAGAACATACATGGGCCTCTGCACAGACGAGCACGCAGACCCAGTCGGTATATGTGACCGAGTCTCGAAGCTGAAATGTGGTTAAAATAATGTACGTTGTTGAAACAATGTTTAATGCTAATGGTTGTGCAAAGGTTAACAAAATACTTATAAATCAATGTTGATATTTTAACAGGATCTCTACGTTGAATCGATATAATATCTACAACAACATACAAAAAGAACTCCTGCCTTTTAAATTATTCTTATGACCATCATTGTTATTTAATTGGCATCTTATTGTATTTAGAGCAAAGCAAACGGAGTGCAAACACGCAACATAATTATCAGATACTTCCCTGAATCCAGGTTTTTTTTCTTTTCGTGCGCTGGCGTACCATTGAACAAAATCTGTTGGCTTAAAAGTGAACCAAGTGAGCATTTCGCTATAGGAACGACTCCTATCGGATACACTTAGCATCGTGTATTTAGGTTACCCATGCAAAAGTATTTAAATAATATAAGGGTGGCCAACTGTCACGCGTCTGGCGTGACATTCAGGTTTTCTGAATCTCATGCTCTCGCAAGAAATCTTACGGCAAATCTATATTTTTCCAATATAAACCTAAAATGAGTTATATCAAACGCATTGGGGTAGTTTGCAAACCACGCAGACTATTTACAAGGTAATAAAACTCGCACGTAGATGTAAATGCGTGTGCAGACTTGTCTCGAACGGAAAATCTCACTCCAGCCAGTTGACTAAAGTTGGCAACTCTGTAAGATACGCCAAAAAAGCGAGTGTGTGTTAGAAGCACCGGGCAGCCCCTGTGTTCCAAAACCTGCTTTAACCGAAAGGTTGCAGGATCTACTATGAGCAGGTGGCTTTACTGAACAAGGTTACTAACCTGAATTCCTTATGGAAAATATCCGATTGAATTATTGGCCAAAATCTATGTGAGTGTCTGTTTATGGTTTAAATGGGATCAAATGAAGTAAACGCGCGTCGCTTTGTCTACGTTTCTCCCTAAGGGCACCTCATTGATCACGTGGCGGGCGAATAAGCGTGTGGTCCTTGGTTCATTAATCGCGTCACCCCCGCAGGGATCAAAGGCTCCCAGCTGGGAATGAGACCGAGCCGAGCCCGACGGCAGCCGGAGCGACACGGATGTAAACACGGGATCCGGTCTGCAGCGCGTTGTGCAAACAGCTGAAGTGGAGGCGTTTATGCCGGGATGTTAATTAGACTCTGAAATATTCGTGAAATTTAAATACGGCCTTAAGCAAAAATAACACACACACAGGAAGCTAAACGCATCTTATCGACACAGCGGCATAACCTGGAGGACCTTCCTGCTTTTGTGTATATAACCTATCAGATTCCCTTTCTGTATCTACCATTTCCTCGTGTCTCTGCTGTTCTGGGTGTAATGAGTATATCTCCTTTGGTATCCAGCTGCTAAGTACGGCTGTGCCTCACTGCCACAGAAAACACTTCGAATGGGGTTGGGATTAACCCCGAAGCTGGGATCCTAATCCATGTGCGTGGGCTGGGAGCCTCCATCACGGCTGAGGTGTAAATATTTAATCCAAGCTCTTTCTGAATGAGAAGCAGGACTTTAAAGACTATGAGGAGGGGGCAGGGATGTGTTTACTTTAGACGCTGGCTGTACAGTTTACAGGACGGATTACATATAGGGGGTGGTGGTGGCAAAACCAAACATTTGGAGCTGAGGCCAAAAACAAGCTTTTAACAAGCTGTCTGATGTCATGAGGAGTCTGTTTGACTCCTGGGTACCACAGCAGAGCCTCTTGGGTAACATCTCCCAGCCTGCCCCCCCCCCAAACCCCACCTTCAGCGGCCGGGGGCTTGCACCTCATTGGCTAGCCTGGCCGTCTCTTACTCCTCGGTCCATGTCAGCCCAGAGGAGAGTCCCAGGGCGGCGTAGCTCAAGGTCCTGCTGTAGAGGCTTACCTCCCACGACCTTCCCTTCATCTGCTGCCCTGCCTTCCGCAGGAGGCCTCTGAGCACAGGCGATGGCCAGAGATGCTCCTGGACCCGTTGGACACGCAGATGTTCAGGGAACGGAACACGCCGGTTCCCAGCTCGCTTCAGAAAGAGGGCTGCGGCTTATGGAATCTAGAGCTTCCTAGATATGTGAATAATGGACATACTTAAGTGCAAAATGGTCAGATTGGTGAAGCAATTTCCATTGACGAGAGGTTCAGGCGGTAAATGTCAACATGTGCTGAAGACAGTGAAATGATGAAAGCTCATTAGGAATGAGGGTGGGTGCCTCCTGAAGGTTAGCAGACTGTGGGCCGTCTAAGTGCAGAGCAGTAGCAGAATCTCTCTCCTCCCTACAGCTCGCGAACATGGACGACATCAAGGTGATCCTTCAGGACAAGGAGCTGTGGAGGATGTTCCACGAGGCGGGAACAGAGATGATCGTCACCAAGGCTGGGAGGTGAGCGAACCCACAGCTTGGGATTGGACCCTCTGCTATACCGGGTCACAGAGTGTCCGCTGTAGGGGGTTAAAAATCCCAGCCTCTCATGAACAGGCAACAGGTTTTATATGAGGCCAGTGCAAGAAAAGATAGGCTTGTTAGAGGATGGCGTGTTTTAAAGGAAGAATATGAGCACTTTGATGGAGTCTGTATTCAGAGACATTGCTGTATCTGGTGTGCAGAACATACTAGGAAAGACTGAAATCAAATTGAAAGGTAATTAATGTCTATTCAAAGGCTTTTCTGAGATTATTTGGCTGCACATTAAAGTGAAAGTTTCCGTTCTGGAAACTTTGTCGTCTGTTTATGTTGCAATAATAATAATAATAATAATAATAATAATAATAATAATAACAATAATAATAATAATGGACTGACTCTACGACTTCTTCGTAGCATTGAAATACGCTTAAAATTCTGTATCAGAGTTTAAAATACGTTTTAACACCGGACCTCGCTTTTTAACCCGATTTTATATAAACCGCCGCTGCTAGAATTGGGTCGGACAATGACACATTATTATATTATATTATATTATATTATATTATATTATATTATATTATATTATATTATATATATTTTTAATGAAACGACTCCCTTGTTGAACCATTTGAAATGTGGGTTTAAGTCAAGGCCGTAGCCATGGAGTCAACGCTGGTGGGACCAAGGCCGTAATTAAAATATATATTGGGGGGGCAATGTGAGCACAGTTTCCTATATATTGTAATTACGGCCTTGGTTAAAGTAAATTGATTTCAAACTGATTTTTGAACTTTTTGAAAAAAATATAATTAAAACAGAATTTACGGACAAAGGTGAATTTCTCGCGAGCATTTTTTGGAATACACACGAAAAAAAGCTTATGCATAATAACAGATGCAACGTGAAAATATAACAATTTAAACAACTCTAAACAATTTACGCGATTTATTGCGCTCTTGTGTAACTACATTTTTCTTCAAGGAAATTATGTCGCGTACGCAATACATGCAGAGGGGTAACGAATGCATTGAGTTCGTAAATGTGTGAATGCGTTGAAATACAAGTTTTATATCGTTTCGAACAATTAATTTATGTTAAGTAAAAAAAAAAACTTAAGAAATATTTTAAGATTTAGAATCACAATAATCTATTCATCGCCACGTACAGTAGTGGCCAAACTGTGCATGGAAACACCTAGCATTTGTCATTACGCTTTAAAAGTCACTACACGAATATTGGCGGTAATGTTTACAAACAATCAAAGAATGTTAGAAATATCATACACTGGACGATTAAACAAGTAACTGGAGCAACAGTGGAATAAAGTTCTGCAATCTGAGAATTGGAAGCGTTTTTTTGGGTACTAGTGCACTTTCACATATAAGGGATTTGCTTTGGGAGGATTAAGGACCATAAAAGCAATATAATGACTACATTATATACATAAAACAAAATGATATAGGCTACTTTGGGCGTATAAATGAAAATATAACTAGAGTACACTCGAAAATAGCACAATGTAATTTTGTCAAAGAAGCATCTATCTATCTATCTATCTATCTATCTATCTATCTATCTATCTATCTATCTATCTATTATTATATTATCATGCCCTGACCTTTCAAAGATGGTTACCAAAAATGATAATGTATTTGTCTGCTGTGCTGCTATGTAACAAATCTAATGCTAAATCTGTCAGGATAGTAATTTAGAATATACCTTAAAACGTGCTGGACAAAGCATACGAAGTTTGAAATGGAAATGAAGGGAAATACACACCCCGTTAAAAAGGGGAAAATTCAGAAAATACTATAGAAAGAGAGTGATGGCGTGTCTGCGGGTCCGAAGCAATGCCGCGTGGCGCGGTGCTGGTCCGCCTCCTGTGTCGCTCTCGCTGTCGGAGCGCCGCTCTGCGTTTGCTGTGTTTTCCGTGTCTGTGTGTCAAAAGCCCTGCCGCAGAGGAGCCGCACCTAAAGGTTTTCAGGGGATCGAGGGGCGGCGATCGGTTCATTTCTCTGTGGCGAACATCACAGGTGTTTTACTGCTCTTTTATGCCTTTTGCTTGATGCTGAGCCGCACAGCCCTGCCTAGCGGCACTAAATCAGTCACAGGCGCAGACTGCGCTTCTACAGCAGCTTAACTAGGAAGCTCCGACTTCCTGCCTTCACAGGACAATGCTGATGCAGCCATGAAAATGTCATACAGCAGATCGCAGAGGCTGCAGGTCATAGGGGCTGCACAGATTGCAGGGGCTGCAGATCATGGGGGCTGCAGATCGCAGAGGCTGCAGGTCATAGGGGCTGCAAATAGCAGGGGCTGCAGATCGCAAAGACAGCAGATCACTGCGGGACAAACAGGCCACCTAGTAGGAATTACACTGGTTAAAATATCCTATTGGGATATTAAATGCATTTTAAAGCCTTAACAATGATGTATCTGCAGCAGAAGGCTTCACTGATAGAATATTGAGTCATTTTACGGCTTCTCAGTGCCAAACACCACCAGTAAGCCTCTGGTCACTGACTTTTCTATGATCTTCTATTCCTGACTCCTACAGTGAGATACCATCTGTGTTCATTTTCCATTCATAACCCCAGATCCCACCTTGTTGTAGAACCTACCCCATTCATACCTCCATAACTTATTTCATAACATCTCCAGGAGGCTCTTTCCAAGCTACAAGGTGAAAGTATCAGGGTTGGACCCCAAAACGAAGTACATCCTCCTGGTGGACATTGTCCCAGCTGACGATCACCGCTATAAGTTCTCCGACAACAAGTGGTAAGTTCTGATGAGCTTTGCAGGCTCTTGGTGATGCTGAGTTTGAGATGGATGGTGATGTGGAGTTTGAGGTGGACAATGGCGTTGAGTTTGAGGTGGACAATGGCGTTGAGTTTGAGATTGACAGTGATGCTGAGTTTGACATGGACTATGATGTTGAGCTTGAGGTGGATATGATGTTGAGCTTGAAGTAGACAGTGATTCTGTCCTCACTTTCTCAAAGCCACTGGCTTTGCATCTCTGGGCTGGTCTTCACTTGATGGCTCCAGAAATGTTGCTTTGTCGGAATGTCTCTGAAAGTCTGGGATTGTCTGTTTTCTTCATGGAACTGATGGAGATCAGATGTTGGCTGCATTATTGGATGTTCTCATTGTCATAGTTACATCTGGTCTGTCTCCCTGCAGGGTGGTCGCCGGGAAGGCGGAGCCTGCTATCCCTGGCCGGCTGTACGTGCATCCAGACTCTCCAGCCACCGGTGATCACTGGACCCGCCAGGTCGTGTCTTTCCAGAAACTGAAGCTCACCAACAACCACCTGGACCCCTTCGGACATGTGAGACAGGACTTAGGCAGTGCAAACCCTAATCCTAACCCTAACCCTAACCCCACTCTCATCTCCAGCTCCGTCCCCATCCCTGCTGAGACCTGACCCAGGTTTAATCTCCAATTCCCTCAGATCATCCTCAACTCAATGCACAAGTTCCAGCCGCGGTTGCACATTGTAAAGGGCGACGAAAACGATGGCTTTGGACAGCAGGGCGGTGCCTTCTGCACTCATGTCTTCCCTGAGACGGCCTTCATCTCAGTGACGTCCTACCAGAACCACAGGGTATGAGCCCGCCCACCCCCAGCAGCCAATTGCATACCAGGATATGCAGTGAAGAGAGTATCTCTTGTAAGACTTCAATAGCACGTCCCTGACATTTAACATTGACCAGTCATTTTACCATGTCTTCTCCCTCATCGTTTTACTTTTTTCCTGTACCTACCCATAATTCCCTTCTTCATCAAAGTGTCATATCCAGGGTTCTGTGAAATATGCCATTTTATTCGGCTAGACAGGGAGCGGTTTCCCTGGGGGGGCTCTCAGACTGACCTCGCTGCTTCTCAGATCACGCAGCTGAAGATTGAGAACAACCCGTTTGCCAAAGGCTTCCGGGGGGGTGATGAAGGGGAGCTGCATGAACCCCACCCTCTGGGGTGAGTCACTGATTTAACACTCTAACGCATCTAACACTCAGTTCGGAGGTACCTGCATCTTTTTCATACTGTCCAGACATTATACTGAGGTATAAAGTATTTTAAAAAGCAGCAGTATTCCAGCATTTTGAAATCTTGGCAATAAAATTTGCCGAGCATGGGGGGTTGGGGTCCAGGCTAATTGTGTAGGAAGTGGTCTGCCTGATTACTGTAATACCGCCCAAGCCTTGGCTAATAACTTTACAGTTCATAAAAGTTTACCTGTTTCACTGCACTGCTTGTATTTGTGTTTGTTGAAATACATCTGCCCTCTGCTGGTCTGGTGGATAATCAGTGCTGTATGCATGCACTGACCGCGACCATCCGCATCCACGGTCAGATGCAGTATGAACAGCAGCTGCCCTGCAGATGACCATCCTCAGACTCCCTCTGACTCATCCTTCAGGAAGCACTTGCTCAGGCTGGCTTCCTGTCACGGCCCACCAGATCCCAGGCTGCCATCAGACCACTGCCACTCTCATGGCACTGACTCTGCCACACTGCAGCGCCGACACCTGCCTGATGAACTGGTCCGGCCTAGGAGGAGCACCGCACTGCCAAATCACTATCCCAGGCACAGAGGTACCACGTCACTGAACCCAAGCAGTTGGGTTAAGAGAAGGAGGCAAAAAAAAACAACTGTAAAAATACTGTAACATAATTAGAGGTGATTGTACTGGGAATTAACCTTCACTCTTCTTACAGATTACAACAGAGCCCGAGAGCTGGGATGTAAGCGCTCTTATTCTGACACGTCGCCCCCTTGTGGGTTGGAGGGGGACTGCCATCGGCCATCTCCATCATATGAGTCTCTGCTAATGTCCCAGCCATACAGGGGTGAAGCCCTATGTTCCCCAGAGGCCAGTATGTCTGGGTGGTCCAAGGGGGAAGCAGAAGGGAGTGAGCCCTTCAGCCTACTGGCACAGGTGGCATATCTGCCCTACGGATCCCACCTCGCCCGGGAAGCCGTACCCACAGCTGCCCCCGCGCCGCCCCCCCATGGCCAGGCTGCTGCCTGGGGCGACCAGCCCCCAAATCTCCCCTTATCCTCCAACCAGGGCACATGGGAAAGAAGTGTACATCACCCACTTTACCACAGGGAGGTGCTGTCCCCCCCTCGTCCATGCTTGGACTTGGTGCCGTTCCCCTCCCAGAATTCACCATATCAGTGCCACGTGACACTGGGTGCCATAGTGCCGCACTGGGCAGAGAGTTAGCCGAAGTGGCAGGCCGTTTCATTCCTGCGCGTGAGACGAAGGTCACCTGACTTATGGCTGGAGGACACTACCAAAGGATCTGGTGATGCTGAACACCTTCCCACATGCCATCTGTGTGCATCTGCGTGATCTGCAGATGTTTGCAATCACACACTGTCCTGCGCGAAGACTTTCGATCAGTTCCTCAACCGCTACACCACCTGCTGTCCAATACACGTCACTGTGTCCCAAAGAGCCTTGCAAGAATAATGAATATAGTGCAGTGTTTCTGTCTAGGGTCCTGGCAGAGCCCCCCCCCCAGTCCCCTTTGATAGCAGGCTGGACTCCAGCAGCTGACCTGCGGCTCCTGACAAAGCACTTCCCCTGCCGGAGATCAGACGCTCATCACCATATGCAGGATGCTTAATTCCCTCTGAATTCCAACCGGGGATTAAACGGGAATAAAAAGCTCGCCTGAGATATATGGCTCAGGACATGCTGTCTGTCTGCCTGAAGGTCTGTGTGCTGACAGTCACGCACACCAGTGCGCATCTGGGACTCATTCCCGGGGATCTTTGATTTTAACTCCCCCCCCCCCCTTCTGGGAATATTCAGTCCAATAGACTTCTCCACAGTCGTCTGGATCAGCTAACCTGACCAGGTGGCCTACTACCCACATCAACCTACAGGAAGTTTCCAGACGGGGAGTGTCTAAAGATGGCAGAGATTGTCTAACCTCCTCAGAAAGCGCCATTCCTCTCCAGTAACACGGGCAGCTTTGGGGCAGCCGTTTCAAAGGCCTTAAATTGACTGTGTGTGATGGTTATCCACTTCACTCTGTTTAGACAGTCTCCACGGGCGTCCATCTCTGGAGTTCAACAAGCTGCCAGGACGAGTGTGAGCTCTGTAACTATATACAACGCTTTGTAACTGTATACATTACGTTATATAACGCATCGCGGGTTCCAGGGTTACCGAGACTCGAACAATCACACCCAAACAGGCACAGCACAATTTTAGCAGCGTGCATATGAAGCAGAGAGAGCCCCCACACACCCAAGCAAACATACGCGCTGGATTACAGTTGCCTTCCTGCACTCACAACCAAGCAAAATTTTTCTTCTTTGCATAGAGAGATATATGCAGTTGCATTGTACTTAAGGTGATGTACTGTGTTTTTTGTTACGTTTTAAGCATTTAAAATGCACTGTTTGCTCAAATACAGCACCATCATTTGAAATGTTTTTAAAGGAAGTCTTGGTCTAAAGAAAGTTTAAGTTTTCTGCAGTGCTGTACTATTCACAATAACCCACATCGGAAATTTATATATGCTTGTCATTAAATAAAACCTGGCTGTTTTATTTAAAGATGCGATTTTTAGTCCTGCTTGCGGCACCAAACCCGTCTAATTACCTGTAAGCATTAGGGTATATAGCGCTTTGCTCTGGGAAAGCCATGAAGGATGGGAATTCCTGAGAACAATGTCTGTGATCTATGAAATGATTACATCACAGACTGGGAGCCGGAACCTTTGTGCTGTACTAGCAGATTTTCACACATGCACATAAATTCCAGTGTTAGAAGTATTGATTTGGAGGAGTGTGGGGTGATGTATGGGGGGCCTTTCAGCCGTGCCATGTGCTCTCAGGCTTTTATAAACACTCCCTGCTGGCGCTGGGTGGCCTGGAAGGGGGGGGGTTACACAAAATCACAGGTGCGCGTTTGCTAGCTTTGTCACAAAATCAAGATGGAGAACCCACCACGGAATCAGCTTCCTTCAGCTTCATCTGAAGCCCAGAATTCTTCTGAGATGGAGCAGAGGCGGGGGACGTGCGTCGTGTGTCAGACCAGACAGGTAGCATATGGTAACAGCCGATGCTAACAGCTAATGCTGAAACCGGCCCTTTAAACCAGGAGCGACGGCCCACTTATCTGCCACAGACAGACACACAGCTGCCAGAGCAGCCCGGCAGGGGAAATTTCCATGTGACTGTATCCCTCTGCACCCGAACCTGCAGCCGTGATGCGTCACCACACACGAGTCTGACCTGCACCGTGTCTGATGAAGAGTTAATCTGCCAGCGGCTGTTACACAAACGTGTGACTCTGACACCAGCCCCCCCCCCGCCAACCCCCGCTAGCCCATACGCTCATTCTCATAAAGGCCCCCACTGCCCCAGCCCCCACCACGTCGCCTTGCTTTGGCTAACACAGAGCGACAGACCAGCACACGACCCAAAACGGGGTCACATCTCAAGCTGTGAAACTGCTAGAGGTCAGGGCTTTGCTATGTGTCCAGACGGCAAGCAGAGCGACGTGAACAGGGTGTCTGTGGTGTTTTTAAAGCCCCCTCCTGGGGAGACACTCTCATCGATGTGGTGATTATGAGGTTAATGCTGAAGGTTCACTAAATCAGATATATAGTAGTATGCAAAAGTTTGGGCACCCCTCGATAAATAGCATATTTTGGTCATTTTTTTATGGAAAAGATGTAAACACAGTCTCTGTAGGAAATGGAAAAAATGCACAATATTTTCACCAGACATTGATGCATAGTTACTTTTTATGTCATAAATTGAACAAAGATAAAAAATAAGAACATTATTATGGCACTCTGCAAAAGTTTGGGCACCCTAAGAGTCTCAGATTCTTTTTACAAGGTTTCAGACCTTAATCAGCTCGTTAGATCTGATGCATGGCGACAGCTGTCATTAGTAAATGTCAGCTGGTGCCAATTTCAAAGCTTTACAAATACACTGACTCTTCAAACCCAAACTTTTGCAGAGTTCCACAATAATGTTTTTATTTTTTATCTTTGTTCAAGTTATGACATAAAAAGTAACTATGCATCAATGTTTGGTGTAAATATTGTGCATTTTTTCCATTTCCTACAGAGACTGTGTTTACATCTTTTCCATTAAAGAATGACCAAAATATGTTATTTATCGAGGGGTGCGCAAACTTTTGCATACTACTGTATTTAAACAGAATAGAGGTGTAGGGAACTGGCAGAAACAGGGAACCCCGAGACAGACACCTTCCTGAGGGGATTCCCCTCACACCCAGACCTCCAGTCGCACCCAGACCTCCAGTCGCACCCAGACCTCCAGTCACATCCAGACCTCCAGTCACACCTAGAGGGTGTCACTATCAAAGCCATTAGAAAGGCAGAGTTCTACAAGAAGGTCACATGGCACAGAACTTCCGGCCAGGCATCTCAAACGATCCAAGAGTCTCATGAAGAGATCTGGATTCGGACTGCGATTCTCGGCGCCTGACAGCAGCTTGCGGTTTTTTTATGACCTTCCGCGAGACGGCTGGCAGCTCATGCCTGTTCTTTCCGGAAGAATCTCATCTCACATCAGTGAATTTCGCAAGTGCTCCTGTCCAGCTCACATCCATTGTAATCTTTTTTTCTTGTCTAAAATCTCAACTTGGCTGGGGTGGAGATTTTAACAGCCCTAGTGGCAAAATACAAAGCACTTCAGGCCCATGCGATGCATCAACCAACGACATGCATACCTTCGAATAAATTACAGGAATCCAGGCATCCAGTATAATATATACACTTCAAGGCTGTGTCACAGCTAATATTACATCACATTACGATGTAGCTGTCCTCTTCCAAACATCATTCAGCAAGCCATCTAGCTAGTCCAAGTTGTAATATTTTTGTTGCAGTGTTGCGATGTCACCACTAGAGGGAAATATTGCACCATGCATTCATTATTATTTATATATGTATTTTTTTTATATATTATTTGTATTCACCATCCTTTTCTTGGACCTCGCCTCTCAACCTTGGGACTTCACAGCTTCCTGGTTCCAGGTTTAAGACAAAACAAGGCAGGATAGATTAGATAGATAGATAGATAGATAGATAGATAGATAGATAGATAGATAGATAGATAGATAGATAGATAGATAGATGATAGATAGATAGATAGATAGATAGATAGATATTATCTTATAATATATTGTTGTTGTTAGAGTTATCTGGGTGGGGAAGACCACCCAGTATTGAATGAATGAATTTAAATTTATTTTGGTCACATACATACACATACATACATACATGCATACACACACATAAATAGATACATGAACATCCACACATATTGGCCAAAAAAGGTGTAGCTTGAACTTCAGCCTATCATACCAACCCTTTTTACACAACATGTTCTAATAGGTGACCTTGGCACTATAATTTTCTCTTCAGATCTTTTATTATTTCTCATTAAACTTCCACTATGGCACAGTGGCAGAATCTTACAGAGCTGGTTTTCCCGAAGCGCTTATCCACTTGGTTACACGAGAAAACAAAAACAATTATACACCAGTTGTTAGATAAAACTCATTTTTCCAGTCTGCTTGCAGGGCGACTTCAGGCATGCCTCATTATTATTGTTACTCTTGGCCGCTCGTTACGCGCTGCAGGTGTTTAATGTTGCCTCAGGAGCTCCAATTATGGGAAAAAGATGTAAACAGCTGCTAACGATGGAGATGTCAGTGGTAACCGCAGACCGGGTGACGTTTATATTTCTTTGCAGGTTCTGAAATACTCCTTACCTGCAGGTGGCGCTGTCCTCCTAGAGACGCCTCTGGGGATATGACCTGTAAGAAGATCAGTTCGGTAAAACCCGAGTAAAGTAGGCTACTGGTCACGTCTCTGTGTATTATTAGAATTTAAATATTACACATCAATTCATCCAGGGTCCAAAGATTTTGTGATGTCAGAAGTAAACTATGGAGCAACTGAACCAGTCAGATCAGACCTATATCTCATTGCATGTAGTACAGCAGAGAGGAGCGGGAAAGTGAAATGTGCGACATTACTTCACGGGGCTGGAGATGATGCACTAAAGGCATTTAATACTATGGACTTTGATGATGATGTGGATGTTTTGGATATGCTCAAACAAAAGTCTAGAGCAAGGGGTGTTAAACTACAGTCCTGGGGGGCCAGAGCCCTGCACATTTTTGGGTTTCCCCTCATTTAACACACCCGATTCAACTCCTTGTGCTAATTACCACACACCTATTGAGCTGAATCGTTTGTGGAGGAACAGGGAAAGAACTAAGCCAGTGTTTCCCAAACCAGTCCTTGGGGAACCCCGGACAGTCCACGTTTTCGCTTCCTCTCATCTCCCAGTGCCTGTACCAGGTATTAGGCGTTCCTGATTGGCTGGGAGCTGGGAGGGAGCAAAAACATGGACTGTCCGGAGTTCCGCGAGGACTGGGTTGGGAAACACTGAACTAAGCTACACAGGACTCCACCCAGCAGGACTGGAGTTTGACACATACTGTGAGCCGCGAAAGAACATTACGTATCCGAGGAACAAGTTTTTTACGTGAACAAAAAGAATGATTGATGCATACGTGATAGACTTGAAGAATAAATCAAAGGACTGTGAATTTAGACAATTAACTGACGAGTTGGAGTTGATTAAAGACCACATTGTTTGTGGTATTAACGACACTGTGAGAGTCAGGCAACACATTTGAACCTTATTTGAACCTAGCAAAGGCTGTGGACATATGTCGGGCAAATGAGGTCACGCAGAGCCACATGAAAGTGCTGCACGAGGACACAGAAGTAGCCGTGAATAAGATAATGAAAACTAACACGATAGGGTACTGATGTTACACAGCCGGCTAAAGCGAAAGAAGTCTGCACGCGATGCCAAAAAAAAAAAATGTCAAGTCTACAGAAGAATACTGTAATTGTAGCGCCATGAGCGCTCACGAAAGAAGCATTTCAACCGCATGTGCAAACCAAAAAACAAACAAAAAAAGGCAAGCCTAGAACATGAAATAATACAGGAAGCAAATGTTGAGATGTTTATGGGCAGCATTGATATCAAGCAAACAGCTAGCAAATGGCTAATACGGTTGGATACAGACTACGATTGACAATGAAAGTCAGAAACGGACACAAGTGCTCAAAATGACTACATGGTTAACTTGTAGCTGGACAGAGAAGGGGAGTGTAACGAACTGACATGCAAAGACTTAGAAAATTTTGCGAAAAAGAACACACCGCCACTGAAGTCGAACTGCAGTTTAGTGACACATTCTGGTCACAAGATGGAGCTAAAGGGTAAGGTTACGCTGAAGTGTAAATATGAAGAAGATTCCAGCTAGAATTCCA